GGAAGGAGAAGGAGAAGATGTCCTCCAGGATCGTCGGGTTCTTTTTTTCCTTCATGCGGGTCCTGCCGACCCTGTAGACGTCAACAGGGACAGCTCCACGTCGCGGCCTTTTCCGTCACTGGCGTCATGCGCAGGCGTCGTCTCCCGGTCGTGGTGCTCCACTCCGTCCTGGCGGACGTCGTGGTGAACTGACACGCCTGTCAGTGTTCGTACGAGGGTTAAGCAGAACAGCACCGGTACGTCCGATGCTGTTCCTGATGTGAATCCCCAGGTATGGCCCGTCACGGCCACGGGTTATATCGGGGCGTGTCGGTCACCTCCCTGATGTCAAAGCTTTGACCCAGGCCCATTTGTTTGGACCTGGAGTGGTTGGCGGCGGTATGGGTCTCCGTCGGGCGAGACGGATCCCCTGGCCTCGGGGTCGGGCGAGGCGAAGTTCCCCCCTAGAGGCCGGGCGAGGCGGAGCGCAAACCCAGAGGTCGGGCGAGGCGGATCCAGCCCTCAGAGGTCGGGTGAGGCGGATCCCGCGGCCTAGCCAGCCCTCAGAGGCCGGGCAAGGCGGAGCCCGCGGCCTCGGTGTCTGGCGAGGCGGAGCCCGCCCCCAGAGGTTGGGCGAGGCAAAGTCCGCCTCAGAGGCCGGGCGAGGCGGAGCTTGCGCACCTGGGGGTCGGTTGGAGCTGTAGTCGCGCTCTTGACTGCTCGGATGAATCAATGTTGATGGTTATTAGCTCCTCCTCTTCGGGTACCATAGTATTGGTCCCCGATAGCGATTGTATCACTACCGATCTTTTTTCCGATAATCTCTATTGCAAATAATCAGTAATATCAGCTGAAATTATATTATAAGCGTGCATCTATATTAATGATCGATAATTATCCTGCCTTCTACTAAAATAGTTATTTGCCTACAGTCACCACATGCGGTTTAGCAAGCATTGCTCTCCAAATTCTCCGAGAGAGGAGAAACAAGTTTGACATTGTAATCAGTGATGTCAACATGCCTGACATGGATGGTTTCAAGCTTCTCGAACTCATTGGACTTGAGATGGATCTACCCGTTATAAGTCAGTATTCAATACCAACACATGTCTTTCTGCAAGTTACTTGTTTTCAATATCTATTATCAAAATACCAAATTGCTCCAATCTGTTTTCACAGTGATGTCCATAGACGGAGAGACAAGTAGGGTGATGAAAGGTGTCCAGCATGGTGCTTGTGACTATCTCCTCAAGCCTGTTCGGATGAAGGAACTCCGAAACATTTGGCAACATGTGTATAGGAAGAAAATGCATGAGGTGAAAGAGATTGAAGGTAATGACAGCTGTGATGATCTCCAAATATTTAGAAATGGTGTGGAGGGATTCAACGAGAGGGGCCTATTTATGAGAGCTGATTCTGATACCATGAGGAAGAGAAAAGACATGGATAAGGACCATGCAGATCAGGACTCAAGTGATGGAGCTACTGTTAAGAAGGCTAGAGTTGTCTGGTCTGTTGACCTTCACCAGAAATTTGTAAATGCTGTCAACCAAATTGGATTTGACAGTGAGTGCTCTCTAAAGTTTGATAAATTTACAATTCCCTTCGTAAATTTAAAAAATTTGCATGATCTCAATTTTAAATTGCAACTATTCCTCTCTTGCAGAAGTTGGGCCGAAGAAAATACTGGACCTTATGAATGTTCCTGGCCTGACAAGAGAGAATGTGGCTAGCCATCTTCAGGTATGGCAGATATCATGTTCAAACAGTAATATTTTTTATGTTATCTTTCCTTATAAACTGGATCTTATGCTGATTGCTGATGAGCTTTGACATGGCATAGGCCTCGTCTATTTTAGCTTGCAGATTGTGGATTGCAGCTTGCAGGCTGTTACAATTTGCAAGCTGAAACAAACAGGTCCTAAGATTGTAACGATCCACATGCCTTGAAATCTAATTTGCAACTTTCAATTTTTTTTCCTCAGAACGCAGATCAGAGCTGAGTATCATGCTATTAATAGATAGAAAAAGCCTGTCCAAGCACATGCATTACTGTTTTGTGTATGACACCCCCGTTTACAAAAAATAAAACATCACTTACATACACTCGTTCCAAGCAACAGTCACTTGCATCCTTAACTACTAGCAACATTTTTTTATGAAAGAAAAACTTACAACAACATCAATGAAGCTTTTTGTTCCAAGTGATTTGCATGCGCTTCATCCTTAACTTAAAAAACTGAAATATCAAGACATTCGAGATTTCATGGAAAGGACCAACAAAGTTTGAAAGAGATCATGTAATTCAATACTTACTTGACATCCTTGTATGCCTTAGAATTTATAAATTTTTCTCTAATATTGCTTTTTTCTCCTCTGATGCTTGTACTTAGGTCTTGATTGTCCTAATAGTAGTTTTTTTTTCTGTGCAGAAATATCGCCTCTACTTGAGTAGGTTGCAAAAGCAGAACGAGGAAAGGATAATGGGTGCTGCTAGGCAAGATTTCAGTCACAAGGGACCATCAGATAATCTTAACCTCCGAAGTTCCTTCCAAGAGCAACCAAGCAACCGTTCCAATGGATTTCAGCATAGTTCTCAGAAGATCCAAGCTCAGACCAACATTCCCGATCCTCATCTGGATGAAACGAAGACTTCCGTGACCTTGAAGGTGCCAGATAAAAATGGAACTTCAGTAAGTGATGCTATTGATCCTCAGAATATCACCAGTGCTTCACCTTTAAGTGGGGTGTTCTCTTTTGAAAGAATGCCAGTGAATCAGGACAGGAAGTTATCAGAGACCATGATCTTGGAATGTCAGTCCTGGAGTGGAAGTGTGCCACCAAAGCAGTTCATGCAGTATCCAAAGCATAACCATGAGCGCTGCGACCTGCTAGGAGACTATTCTTGCTTGCCCAAACTGGACTTAGAGCACCCAATTGCCCCTGGTCATCTGTATGCCCCACCACCAGTAATATCGATGAGTTGCAGTGTGGAGGGAGATGTCAGAGACTTCTCAGATGTAAAACCAGATCTTCTTGACTGTATGAAGTCCTTATCACCGGCACTGACTTGTACAGTTGAGTCAGTTTCTGCTCAACTTAGTGACAGTGTTGTGACCTCAACTAACAGTGACCAGAAGTTTTCCAGTGTGGAGGGGTTGTCCAGCATTAAAGATTGTGACTTTGATCAGGAAAGGAACCAAGCCACTTTGCTTACTTCAGAAGAGGCAAGTATAATATGCGGCACTGATTTGACTTGTCTACATGATGACCTGTCTGGCTATCAACTTCAAGGTGTCTCCTTCGGGAATATAGGACTGAATAGCATCGATTTATTTCAGTGCAATGATGCAATGGCACTACCTGGACTGCAGAATAACTGGTATGATGATGTAGAGTTTAGCAGTGAAACTATGGAGTTCCCATTGCTAGACGGAGGCCTGTTTGCATAAATGCCTCAGCCAGCCCTATCTTTCGACCATGCCCTTATGTGAGCAAGGATGATGTTCTTTGGTATGTTCCCGTATAGTGCCTCCTGTAGGGCTATATTAATCTAACTTGATCCTGTGGTGGAAGGATTTAATTTGTAGACTCTCCACTTTTGATAATTGTCTGTATTATAGACTGTGCCATGGTACAATGACTGCAATATATACTCTTCACGATGATCAAAACTACATACGAAGACTGTCAAATCTTTGCCTTGCACAACTGACTTTTGCACTAAATTCTTACTCTGATGCAGCATTGCGCATATGTGAGACTTATAAATTTCACTGGAAACTTTAGTATAGGCGAAGAGGACTCCGGCAGGGTCTGCAGAATGTGAAGCTATGTGTTGGTCTAACCTGAAAAAAATTATATAGGTGAAGGTGATAGTGATACGGCTGTATGCAGAGTTCTAGTGCAATTCCGATGCAGAGATAGTGTATAATCTCTCTCTATATGTGAACTAGTTTTCCTACAGATTAGTTCTTCAACTTAAATTGGGCCACACAGGTATTTGGTTGCTGCATCAGTGCTCCCCATGGATGTTGAATGACATAGAAGCCATGAGTGGCAGATTTACTGACACCAGTTGTAATGCAGGATATTATTGCCAGAACTACAGACAGCACCCTGATTGGAGTGTTATGATTCTGAAATCTATCTGCTTTCACATTGGAAACGTGATGATATATCTGAATTACCTGAAGCTGACAGGTTTGCGTAAGTCCTTGTTGTTTTGTGCGCTCTTTCTGTCAGTTGGTCAGTAACTCCAACGATCAAAACCATACCTCATTCTTTCCAATGTCTCCTGCAAAAATTAATATCTTCTGCGAAGCCGATATATGCTGTGTTACATGGATACGATGTTGAAGGTTTAGCTCAATCTGAAGACCGTTTACTTAGCTTGATAGGAGAGATACGTCGAAGGTTTAGCTCAATCTAAAGATTGGTTGCGTAGCTTGACAGGTTGATGTTCTGCGTCCATGGTCATGATCTGAATGTTCGACCGTCTTTTGACGGTCTCTGATGCCAAGGGAGGACACTGCCTCTGAGCTTCTGAAGATCGCTTAAATAAGATAGCTATGACAAACTGCAATTTCTGCAGTTGAATTCTCTTCAGCGCTTCGATTCTTGCCTCACAGACCAACGAAACTCAATTGATACACTGAACCTGCATATTTGACAGCAAATTTTGCACAAGCAAGTGTAATTTGAGATCGTGTAGTTGTACCTAACTAAAATTCGTATGGGCACTTAGATTAGAAGGCAACCCAGTTGCATCGAGTAGCAACATTGTTTTTCCGAGCTTTTTGGCTTGTTGGCGTACAGCAGAACGCCTAAGTTGTTCTACGCGAACCATACCAGTTGGCGTACTTCTGAAAACCCGCGACTTCTTGAAGTCCTCACTCTGAGTCCCTGACACGAGGGCGCACAAACGGACAATAAACCAAGCTCGAAAGGTTACCCAGGAGAAACCGAAGGTCAGCCCAAGGCGGATCCGTCCGGGCGAGAGATCCGCCACCCCACCAGCAATGGCGGCGGCGATCGCCGGTGCGGTGGTGGCCGCGCTCCTGCTTCTGTATCCGGCCCGGGCATCGGCGGCGGCGGCGGTGGGGAGGGGCGGCGGCTGCACACTCTGTTCTCGGTGGAGTGCGGCGACTACTTCGACTGGCAGGCGGTGGGGCTCCTCCACAGCCTCCGCAAGGCTCGGCAGCCCGGCGGCGTTACCCGCCTCGTCAGCTGCGCGGAGGACCAGCTACCCTCCTACCGCGGCCTCCGCATCGGCCACACCCTCCAGGTCCCCTCCTTCAGCCGCCACCCACGCACCGGCGACTGGTAACCCTCGCCGTCACATACGCAAACTATCACCCCTCTCGTCGCTGCACACTTGCTATTCTATGTTTTTTTTCTTCGGCAAAATTGTAAGAACCAAGCAGTGTTGGTTATTCCGATTGCCTATTTCACGAGTTGAGGCGTTCTGCTCGTGAAAATTGTTGTCTTGCTTCGGAATGGAATGTGCATTTTGGGTGGAATTGTTGTTTCGTCGAGAATTTTGGAAGCATTTCTGTGAACAAACCCCCTGATTCAGTTTGGTGAATAGAAATTATATGTTAGGAATAGCCGAATAGGATTGTCTATGGATTGCCAAATGAACTGTCAAGTTCCAGCATGCCAAATGAATGGTCAAGCTCCAGCGCAATATAAGCAAGTGGACTTCGTAGGTTTAGGTGCTGTGGTTGAGGTATTTTACTTGGCAGGAGTTTTGGATAGAATTAACAGCTGTTCAGTCGAGTGTTATTTTACACTTGTATCGTGATGAGAGATCCTAAAGATACACCTAGTTGAGAAGTTGGGCTTGCTATCTTTCAAGTTAAGATACCTTGTTTCAAATGAAAGTGGCCTCATTGGGCATCCCGCCATTTTTCATGTGAAGGTACCCAGCCATCAACAAGCCAGCAGGGATAGTGCATTGGCTAAAGCATAGTCCAGAGGCCGACAATGTCGATTGGGTTGTAATCTTGGACGCAGATCAGATTATTCGAGGGCCCATTATTCCTTGGGAACTCGGAGCAGAGAAAGGCAAGCCTTTTGCTGCTTATTATGGGTATGGCTTTTACTTGCTCAGCTATTAACTCTATATTTATCGTTTTTGTACCAAGGCAGTCTTAATTATTTGGAAAGGATGGTACTTCGACAAATCACTGAATTATCCTTCGGTTCCAATAGTCTGGAGGGACACTGAATACCTATCCATCTACTTGGAACTTACCTATGTTTGGAATAGTGATTTTCTGCTAGGGTTCCATTTGCCTGTTAGAACTGCAAGAAAATTTGCCGTATAAAGTTGTAGCACCCCCCACCCTTCCCCTCTGAACAAATAATCAGTGTGGAATTTGGGATTAGAATCCCATGGAAATTTCTCCTATGTCAAAGTATTGGACATCTTAGAATCCTACAAATTTCCTATGGAATGGCTTAATCTATAGAAATTCTGTAGTATATCTAGCATGAGGTCCAACCTCTTGGAAACTTTCCTTTGCCTCTCTCTCTCTCTCTCTCCTCAAGTTCCTGTGCTCTAAATGGAACTTTCCTCCACTGGAAAGTTTGCTGCATTCTAAATTCCTGTAGGATTGCAATTGCCAACAGCTTGAATCTTGTGCTTTTCCTATTCCCACATTTTGGGAATCCTTCGTTCCAAATAGGCCCGTATGTCGAGGAAGTCTGTGTGCCACTTCATATTTCTATCCTGAGAAATACATTTACATCTGCATTCTATGTTTAAACACTGCCTGTTGGATGCCAGGTGCTATCTGAGTAGGTCATTATAATGCCTGATTTACACCAAGCATCTAACTGGTTTCGATCTATATTTACTCTTAACTAGATATTTGAAGGGTTGTGATAACATCCTAGCACAGCTTCACACTGCACATCCAGAATTTTGTGACAAAGTTGGAGGAATTCTAGCCATGCATATTGATGACTTAAGGGCTCTAGCACCTCTGTGGCTCTCAAAAACTGAAGAAGTGAGGCAGGATAAGTCCCATTGGTCAACCAATATTACTGGTGATATATATGGCATGGGTTGGATCAGTGAGATGTATGGGTATTCATTTGGTGCTGCAGAAGTAAGCTGACTTTCACTCTCCTCGCTTTGTGTCTTTGCTAAAGTAAAAATTTCTCATTATGGATTGTAAACTTCTTCCTGTAGCTTCATTATCTGGTCCTCATGAACAGGTAGGTCTACGGCACAAGATAAATGATGACATAATGATCTACCCAGGTTATACTCCTAGACCTGGCATTGAGCCACTTATCTTGCACTATGGTTTGCCATTTAAAGTTGGAAACTGGTCATTCAGTAAATTAGAACACCATGAAGATGGAATAATTTATGATTGCAACCGCTTGTTCCCTCCACCTCCTTTTCCTAGAGAGGTAAACAATATTTCTAATCATAATTTAGGTGTGCTCATTTATAGCTATTTATGATGAAGATTTTTTGATGCTGCAAACTTTGTAGGTTGAGATGATGGAATCTGACCCAAATATAAAACGAGGCTTATTTCTAAGCATAGAGTGCATTAACACCTTGAATGAAGGGCTCTTGCTGCATCATGCATCTGTTGGGTGCCCGAAACCACAGTGGTCAAAATACCTGAGTTTCCTTAAAAGCAGGAGGTTTTCAGAGCTTACAAAACCAAAGTACTGGAAGGGCCAACAGGTTGACAGCATAGTGACCATGCAACATGTTGCAGTGTCCAAGGCAAACAGTGAATATCCAAAAATACACACCCTTTTCTCAACGGAATGTTCATCATATTTTGACTGGCAAACTGTTGGGCTTATGCACAGTTTTCGTTTAAGCGGACAGCCTGGTAACATTACACGCTTATTGAGCTGTACGGATGAGGGCTTGAAGAACTATAAAGGCCATGATCTTGCTCCAACACATTATGTTCCATCTATGAGCCAACATCCACTGACAGGGGACTGGTATAACCTCTTGGTTTAACATAGTTTCTAAAGCTATTGTTCAAGACAACCCACTCATATGATTCTTTTGCTAGGTACCCTGCAATTAACAAACCTGCAGCAGTTCTCCATTGGCTCAACCATGTGCAGACTGATGCTGAGTTCCTTGTTATCCTAGATGCTGATATGATCATGAGAGGCCCCATCACCCCATGGGAATATGGTGCAAAACGTGGTCATCCTGTTTCTACTCCTTATGAGTAAGACTTTACTGTGCTATGAGAGTAGCGTATGTTCGGCCATGTTATAGATTTTCCTATGGTTATGTAGTAATGTTACCCTTGATGTGTATCAGGTACCTCATTGGTTGTGATAACATACTTGCAAAGATACACACTCGCAATCCCTCTGCATGTGATAAGGTTGGCGGTGTCATTATCATGCATATAGATGATCTTCGGCGTTTTGCTCTGCTGTGGCTTCACAAATCAGAGGAGGTTCGTGCAGACAAAGCTCACTATGCAACAAACATTACTGGCGACATATATAATTCTGGCTGGATTAGCGAGATGTATGGCTACTCTTTTGCAGCAGCTGAGGTATATGCACTTTCTTTTTTTCTTTTTTTGTTCTTTCAAGTTTCAAGGATCACTCTTTTTTCTTCATTGTAAGTGTAACTAATGTCAATGGACACTTCTGGCTTTTAATATCCAACATATGCTTCGTTCATATTTTCTAGAGAAGGTAGTAAGAAAAGTTGCACTCATATGTTCTAGAAAAATGGTGCTCTGGTCATCTGGTGCAGTTAGCAGTTGTGTCATTTCAATTAATATTTTTTCATCCATCCCTACTCATTGTCTATCTTGCTGTATGACTTCTTTTTAACTTGCAGATCAACCTGCGACACATCATTAGGAGGGACATAATGATATATCCAGGTTATGTTCCACTGCCTGGGGCAAAATACAGGGTTTTCCATTATGGTTTGAGATTTGGAGTTGGTAATTGGAGCTTTGACAAGGCTGATTGGAGAAATGCTGATGTGGTAAATACATGCTGGACCAAGTTCCCTGAACCACCTGATCCTGCTACGATCATGAAACAAGATCTAGATGCACGGGAGAGGGATCTTCTCAGCATTGAATGCGGGAGAGCTTTGAATAAAGCTCTATACCTGCACCATAAGCGCAGAAATTGCCCCGGCTAGACACCATTCGCAGCACATCTAGGAAAGCTGATCAAGTTTCTGCTTCTAACAAAATTGAGAGAGTTGCACAAATGTCAAGAAGTATAAGTAGAGGAAACATTAATTCCATGGACGAGGGAAGGGAGAAGACTGTTGAAAGGACTGCAGCTACTGTACAACCTCTACATGGATCAAGGAGACTGGCCAGGTCTTCTAGGATGTGGCTAATTGCTGTATGGGCATTATCAATTGTGGTGTTCTTATTGGTAATCTCCATGTTTTTCACTGAGCGAAGGAGAAACGTTTCGAGATCTAGGGTTTCTAGAAGTTTAAAGGCCCATGTCTGAGTATTTCTTTTTCTCACCATTTCTGACTATAGAATAGACAATATCCACAAACTGTTACTTTGTGGACGTATAAGACATAAAAGGTTATGGTCCTGGGACTGTATAGGCTAACATCTGTTTTGAGTTATCAGAAGAAGCCAAAGGACTTGGACCTTTGCGAAAACCTCTTCTCTTTTGTCAAAACTTCCCGTAAACTGCTAGTAGGTTTTGGTGTCACTGCTGTTGTACTTGATTTAATAGGTTCTTTCATTATAGTGTAAACTTTCACATATTATTTCTTTCCCTTATTTAGTTCTCCCATGCCGGGAACTGCCAATTTGTAGAACATGTGATCTTCTGAGCATACAAATACAATGATATATTCTTCCGTTGGAACCCCATGGCTGTGGTGTATAACAATTTCACCCCATGCGAGGTCTTTTCCATGAATCATGTGTCTTTTTGTGGAATTGAAATGATTCGTATGAAATTCTTGCTTTTCTAAAGATGTTCTAAAGAGGGTCAAAGGTTTTTCATGTGCTCGAAATATATGTGTTATGTTCCTATCAGGCTAATGGTAAAGCGTTGTCCGAATCTTGTTTCCTTCAAAATTCTTAAATTCTTGTAACCGATTATCTGAAGCTAGGAGTTCAATCACCTCGATGTATTCTAATGCTTTGACAAGAATCACACGGTTCATGATTATGGAGTACAAGCCCATTAGAGTCACACAGTTCATGATTATGGAGTGCAAGCCCATTAAAAGGGCTAGCGCCTGGACGTCCGGCCGTAGTGTCCGAACGCGGCTGCACCTACATCGTCGTCCCACGGCAGCGCCTGTGTCCAAATGCAACACCTCTGAACGCAGCACCCTCGACAACCCCCATCCCAACGCCGAGGGAAGGGGAGGGAGGGGAGGGAGAGGAGAGGGCTAGGCGCACCGCGTGAGTAGGAACCGAAGCCCTGCGGTAGGCCGTTGTTCGCCAGCCACCACGTCATTGCAACATGTGCAACACCCAATCTACTTTCGAAACATCCCGACAAAATATTTGCAACATACATTGTAGACAGATGAAACACTTGAAACATGCGTCTAAAACACTTGCAAAAACATATGAAAACATATGAAAAGTCATTGCGAAACATATGCAACATCCAGATAAAACACTTGCAACGTATGTGCGAAACATATGTAATATCCAAGTATACACACTTGCAACATATGTTCGAAAAAGCAGATAAAACATTTGGAACATACACTTACAACATACGTGTATAGTCATTGCAACATGTGCAACATTCTGATCTACTTTTGCAACATCCAGATGAACATTTGAAATATATGGTTGCAACATACGCTTTCAGCACAATGTCACCTTGCAACTTGGATGAATGGAGGCTCATCGTTGTGGAGCTCGATGCCGGCATGGAGGTCAGCTGGCGGCGCATGGAGCTCGCCGGTGCGGCAGCGGCACAGGCAACCCGCTAGCAGGACGGCGTCACACGGAGCTCCTCCATCGGGTAGGGGGACGATAACGTCGGCAGCACCTCGACGCGGCGGGGGACGGGGCACGGTGCACCGCGCGCGAGGGGTGGCACGGTGGGCAAGGGCGGAACGGGCACGGCGCGGCGCGGCACGGGATGAGAGCATCGCGCGGCGGCGAGGCGGCTTAGGGTGGGCGGACGGCACGATGAGCCGCGACGAGCGAAGTGGGTCGAGAGTTGGGGATTTCTCGGCTGTCGCAATGTAGAGATGGAGGAGAGAGCGTAGATGGAGCAGGGCCATCGTTGACTGTTGGGCCTGATCGCTGCGCAGACCCAAGAACGGGAGCGTTCGGACGGACACGCCGGCCGGACGGACATCCTCCTCAGAGCACTATCGTTTTTTAATAGGAATAGTACAATCAGGGCACATCTTAGAAATTGGTTTGGCTACATCTTAGAAACCGATTAACAGCCTTTTTTAAAAGAGAGACAAACAAGGAAAATTAATACTAGTATAGACGCCTTTTTTTAACGAAAATGGTTGGACCAAGTAGTGTCATCCAAGCCCATTAAAAGCCCAACTGTTATGTGAGCCCATCTGTATACAATATACCCGCCGCTTCGCCACTCGTCAATCGTCATCACTCGATCTCCCGCTCGGCTGCTCTCCTCACGGGGACACGGGGTGACGAGTGACGCTCCCCTCCGCCCCTTCCACTTCGAAACATTTCGAATTCCTCAACCCCCAAAGCCTCCAAAAGTTTTCCCGCCCCAACCCCTCGAACCCTAGCCTCATCACCGGCTGGCGACGCCTCGCCGGCGGTCGGCAAGATGCACATCAAGGAGGTAACCCTCGAGGGGTTCAAGTCGTACGCGGGTCGGACGGTGGTGTCGGGGTTCGACCCGCTGTTCAACGCCATCACCGGGCTCAACGGCTCCGGCAAGTCCAACATCCTCGATTCCATCTGCTTCGTGCTTGGCATCACAGATCTCCGCCAGGTGCGCGCCGCCTCGCTCCAGGAGCTCGTCTACAAGCAGGGCCAGGCCGGGGTCACCAAGGCTACCGTCTCTATCGTCTTCGACAACTACGACCGCTCCCGGTCCCCGCTCGGCTATGAGGACTCGCCCGAGATCACTGTCACGCGCCAGGTTACACATCCCTTCGCCATCTTCGTTATCCCATGTGGCCTTCTGAAGCGTATCCTTGCTAGTGCTCGTTTGAGTTCCTTGGGGGATTTTTTTAGGTGATTTTGGGGCTTGCCGCACAATTTTGATTTGCATATTCTCGAATTCGGCACTGATGTGTCATACTGGATTAAGATGCTGCCCTCTGAAGAGGAGTGGCTGAATGAGGTGGTTTCGGGTAAAAGGAGATGGTGATTTGCGGTATCTGGAGCTGGAATTTTGACGAGATTGTGTGCTTTAATCCTTCACGTCTCTAAGTTGTTGAATTTCTTCATACCAGGGTTCAATTATTTGTGTGCTGTTTTAGTTTCTGTGAACTGGAATCATTTTTATTTTTTGTACGCTGAAGGGTTGGAGATGGCGATTCTGGAGTTTGAATTTCGATTTGGAGTACTTTTTGTTTCTTTGCTAAAAACGGTAGCTAATTGAGGTTTAGTGGCTGTTCAATATGTTCATCCAAGTGCTCAACTGGATGTGTTTCTTAGGTTTTGTGTATTCAGAGTTGATCAAGTTAGTTCTGTTCATGGGAGTTTGGAATTGCTAATCTGCTATGCGTTCTGAATTTTTAAATCTGTGTCTGGCTTGCTGATTTTGCAGTCAAATATGTCTAGTTTTCTATTTTTTCAGTCAAACACATAGTTGATGTGTATGAATCTGGAGTTTTGTTAATGTCTGTACTAGCTGACCTACTTTTAATCAGAGATTGCAAATTTGCTATGAATGTTGATGTGTAATGTGGCCACCTGACTCATTTTCAGTCACACTTAGTTGATGTATATGGATCTGGATTTCTGTTAATGGGTGTTCTAACCACTGATTAATTTTTCTGAAGAGTATAATCTGGGACTGCGAAGTTGCTTATAATAGAACTGGATTTGTTCAGATTTTGTTGATGCTCAATCTAGCCAAGACATTTTTTAGTCAAATACTTCGTTTCTCAATGGTGTGTGTGGATGTTTTGTGGCCAGTGATTCATGACATTATTTGCAGCTAAAATTTTGAAATTATTTTAGGTCCAGGAGTTTAATTTGACCGAAATGGTGCTATTTAGGTTGATGTGGAGTGATGCTTTTGTTGGTTGATCTGGTTAGTTTTAGATTGCAATATATGAAGCTATATTTTCTATTTTATTTCAAGGTTGTTCTAGATGATCCATTTGTTGAGTCGAACACTTGTCTTTGGTGGTGTATGGACAGTATGCTTGCATTTTTGTTAATATGTTAGATATGTATCTAGCACAACTGAAGTACATATGTTGGCTGTTCATCTCATTTGCTTGATTACGTAAAATGGCTAATAGATCGGCTTCAGTCGTATGTTCTTTTGCACTTTGATTCCACCATTTTTTTTCAAAAAGTTTTGTGTTGTTTCTGGTGGACCAAATTTTTCCCAATTTTACTGGGCATCAGTTAATTGTTGTTGTCCTATATTTGTAGATTGTTGTTGGTGGAAGGAACAAATACCTTATCAATGGCCATCTTGCGCAACCTTCCCGGGTCCAGACCCTTTTCCACTCAGTGCAGCTTAATGTAAACAATCCTCATTTTCTAATTATGCAAGGGCGCATAACAAAAGTGCTGAACATGAAGCCTCCAGAAATTTTGTCCATGTTAGAAGAGGCAGCAGGCACAAGAATGTATGAAATGAAGAAAGAATCTGCTCTTAAGACACTTGAGAAGAAACAGAATAAAGTTGATGAGATTGATAAACTCCTTGATGTTGAAATCCTCCCTGCACTAGAGAAGCTTAGAAAGGAGCGGTGCCAATACATGAAATGGGCCAATGGCAATGCTGAACTGGATAGGCTCAAAAGATTTTGTATTGCCTATGAGTTTGTTCAGGCTGAGAGAGTGCGAGATGGTACACTCAATGATGTCAAACAAATCAGGGCAAAGATTGATGAGCTGGATGAAAATACAGAAAAGATAAAAGCAGATATACAAGAAATGGACAATAACATTTCTACCTTGGCTGCTGAAAAAGAAGCTAAACTAGGCGGTGAGATGAAGCTTCTGTCAGATAAAGTGGATAAATTATCACATGTACTTATCAAGGAAACTTCTGTGATGAATAATCAAGAGGAAACCCTGAAGTCTGAGGAAAAGGGTGCTGAGAAGGTAACACTGCACTGATGTCAGTTACTAGACATGCTTTTTTTTTTGAATAGCTTACAAGGTTTGCATTATACATTTCACATGTAGATTCTCACAAACATTGAGGACATAAAAAGGTCTATACTCGAGAGAGATGCTGCTGTAAAAAATGTAGAGAATGAGGCGTCTGATATGAAAAGAAGAGCAGAGGAGCTCACAAAGGAGTTGGATGAGAAGGAGAAAGAACACCAGGTATGTAAAGGGTGACATCTTTAAATGTAATGTATTAAATATCAACAATTTAACATATAGCCTCTTGGTTCTGTGTACTCTGGGATATTAAATTTGTTTTTACCCAGGGTGTGCTAGCAGGAAAAAGCAGTGCAAGCGAGAAGAAATGCCTTGAAGATCAGCTTAGAGATGCAAAAGCTGCAGTTGGAGATGCAGAATCTGGACTAAAGCAGCTAGCCACAAAAATAAAACATTCTGAAAAGGAGTTGAAGGAGAAGAAAGCTCTGTTAGTGTCCAAGCGTGATGAGGCTATTACAGCTGAGAATGAGCTGAAAACAAGGACAAAGGACTTGGATGGTATCAAGGCATCCATGGGATCTATTAATTATGATGAGGGCCAAATGGAAGCTTTGCAAAAGGTATACACTACCACACTGGTGAAGCTAAAAAGTGTTGATGTGGAAGCTATACTTCTGATTGTTGACTATTTTTATTTTTTTGTCCTGACCATTCATAGGACCGTTCTACAGAGTTAGAAATTGTTCAGAAATTAAAAGACTGCGTTCGTAAGCTTTCTGGTGAGCTTGCTAATGTTCACTTCAGTTATCGAGACCCTGAAAGGAATTTTGATAGATCAAAAGTCAAAGGGGTTGTTGCACGTCTTATTAGGATTAAGGATAGCTCAACAGCTACAGCACTGGAGGTTCGTATCAGCAAACTCCTCTCTGCTTGCTTGAAGTTAATTCTCGTTTTGACTGATGGAGTTGGTCTAGTTATCCTGGTTCAATTATTAGTTAAATATTGCAGGTTGCCGCAGGTGGGAGGTTATTTAATGTGGTGGTTGACACAGAAGAAACTGGAAAGCAACTATTAAAGAATGGGGATCTACGAAGTAGAGTAACCATCATACCTTTGAACAAAATCCAAACATACACGATACCTGACAGAGTTCAGCAGGCAGCTCGTAGACTGGTTAACATCCCTCCCCCCCCCCACTCTTTTGTTATACTGGTGGATGTAGCCCTTTGGTTATTGATGACTTGTCTAAATGAGAAGTATATACTGATTGATTTGTAGGTTGGTCCTGACAATGTAACATTAGCTCTAGAATTGGTTGGATATGGTGAGGAAGTAAAGGTCGGTATCTCCAACTATTCTGTTAATTTTTGAGAAATACTAATGATTTACTCTTGTAGATTTATGTACATCATGTCTAGCAGTGTTTTGTTGTTTTCCTCAAAGGTTCAAACTTAAGATTGACAATCATTCTGCATCACGTGTCGTTCAAAATTTTGTTGTAACCCAAATCTTAAGATTGCATGCTTCTGGCTATCTGTTTCATATCTTCATATCTTATTGCAGAATGCCGTGGCTTATGTCTTTGGCTCAACATTTGTGTGTCGTAATACGGATGCGGCAAAAGAGGTAGTGTTGCGTCTTCAGGAATTTGGTTAATATAGTATAATTTAGTTCAATCTGTATACAAAGTATAATTCAAAATATGTGGTTGATAGTGTAATTGTTAATTCTTCTTTTGATATAGGTTGCGTTTAATAGGGAAGTTAGCAGTACTAGTGTGACTCTTGAGGGTGACACTTATCAGCCTAGTGGTCTTTTGACTGGAGGTAGTAAAGGGTAAGTTACCGATATAATATTTTACTTAATGCTAGTGTTTTGACTTGATCAGTTTTTTATGTTAAATTTAGTATTCAATTTTCCTTTTGCATTCTTGTTGTTTGAATAACACAAACGTTTTTCTATGAAGAACAGTGTTTTTCAAGCTTCTTCTAAGTATCCTTAGGAGGGAAATACACATTAGATTCTCTGATCGTCTTGGTTTGCTGGGTGATAGATGAAATTCGCACCATAGATGCCTGTTTTTGGCTTGTCATTTTTCTTACTGCGTCTAATTACATGGTTTGCCAGACAGTCAAAATGTCTGTCCTGTGGTCAGATAAAGACATTCATCATTTTCCTTGGTAACGTATACCATAATGATGCAGGGGTAGAGGGAACTTGCTAAGGAAACTCGGCGAACTAGCTAAAGCTGAGGCTGATCTATCCGATCATGAGAAAAGGCTCTCTGTCATTGAACAGCAGGTATTCTGCAAATGCACAGTGTCCACACATGAATTTTATTATTCTTATTACTGTTTGAATTTGAATGAATTTATTTGCTGGATAAAAAAAATATACATGTCCTACTAACCACCTTTTGCCTTTAAACTGCTATTTTAATCTGTTATGGGAGCTTGTAAATTCATCAATATTTATGTTTCCTCATATGAATTAAGAAAGTATGCCATGAGACATGAATGCACATTTGAACTATCGAATGGAGAAACCTTTTGCTTGCAAAGTAATTCTTGTAATGGAACACATTCTTTGATGCTGTTAGCATGTACTCTGTGCTAACTATTTGGTGTCATAAATATTGATACTTTTTAGTATAAACTTAGTCAAACTTATGATAGTTTGACTTTGGATAAACCTGTAACTGTAAGGTCATTCTTTTTTGGACAGAGGTAGTGGTATGCACTATGATAGAAATAGAAATTTCATCTCTTGTCAATTTGAGTGATCTATTGTGCTGGTCACTAGCAGTTATCTCTCTTCATTGCAACTGCAACATGTTATATGTTGGTTATTTAAATTATGTTAAATTTCATTTTCTAGATTTTTCTAATTTATTACCCCCCTCCTCTCCCAGATTGGAGCCCTTTTGCCATTGCAGAAAAGGTACACTGAGTTGAAATCTCAGTTTGAACTCAAGTCATATGATCTCTCGCTATTTCAGAGCAGAGTTGAGCAAAATGAACATCACAAGGTTTTTGCTTACACAATCGATATGCTTGCCTTACCCTAGTAAAAGCTTCAACCTAAAATAACAGTTTTTGTATTTGGGCCTCAGTTAGGTGAACTTGTAAAGAAAATTGAACAAGAGCTTCAAGAATCAAAACAAGAGTTGACAGAAAAGGAAGTGCAGCATGAAAAAGTGTGTCTACAGTTTCTGAGTTAGAAAAAACTATCAAGACTTATGGCACTGAACGAGAGGGCAGACTCAAAGCGCTGGAGAAAAGGATCAAATCAATTAAATCAGAGATGCAGTCCATGTCAAAGCAACTAAAGGTTGTTTACTTTCTTTTTCTTGCCACCATTCGAGGACTCGATATATGGGAATAGTTGTTGGAGAATTCTGGATGTTGACCCTGGACCTTGTTGGTGTGACTTAGGAGTCATGATTGGCTACTGCATTGGCTATGCAGGCATAAAAGAAACTGGGGGCGATGGTCAATCTGATTGCTTAATTGCAACATACAGCCAATTCCCCCCTACGTAGAGCTAGTCTGGCAGTAAATAACTCCATCTAATTGGTCTCTATCTTTTCTGTGAGAACTTGCTAATTCCAAGCAAAAAAGATTAACTAACTGAAGAGCAGGGGGTGGATCCATCGGGTGGGGCTCAAGCCCCACCACTGCTTCTGCAACCATGGAGCCCCCCTTGCACGTGGGGTAATTTTACAATAGCAAAAAAGATTAACTAACTGAACAGAGGGAGTATTATTTCTTGATACATACTCCCTCTGTTCCACATTATAGGTCACTGTAGCTTTGTCCTAAGTCAAACTTCTTTAAATTTGACCCAAGTTTATAGGGGAAAAATACACTTAACATCTACAACATCAAATTAGTTTCATTAACCTATAAAATACGTCTTGATAGTGCAATTATTTTGAAATTTAGATGTTAATATGTTTTTCTGTAAACTTGGTCAAAGTTAGAGATGTTTGACTTAGGACAAAACTAAATTGACATATAATTTGGAGCAGGAGTATTTTTGGTTAGGTGAAGATAGGTAGGATATTTTCTCAAAGCTGCATAGAGTTGAAAATTATTAATTTCATCCATTACCATGAGTTAATTGCAAACTCTTTAGTAAGGTACGTTTAACTTTACAAGTTAACTATGCGGTCAGCTTTGATGAAGAGGCTGGACATCTTTCATAAGCAACATATTAAGATCAGTTCTGTTGAATTTCTACTCTGATAGTGGCCATGACTTGATTCTTTTATGTTTACTTAAACAGTCATCCTGACAATTCAATCTTTAATATATCCCATATTTAGGCTTATGAAAGTGACAGGGAGAGGCTGATCATGGAGAAAGATGCAGTTGCTAATGAGCTTGCTACACTGGAAGAGCAGTTAACAACTTCAAAAGCTCAAATTACTTCTCTGTCTGAAACCTTGGAAAAACAAAAGGACAAGGTTGTGCAAGATGCTTTTTTATAGTTACTTTGTACTTGGTGTTGTTCCTGAGCTTTGCATTTAATTAGTTAAATATGCTTTGTGCTCATGAAACACAGGTTACTTCCATAAAGCAAGATTATGATCAAGCTGAAAGTGAGCTCAATGTTGGGCGTTCTAAACTGAAGGAATGTGACTCACAGATAAACCATATGGCCAAGGAACAGCAGAAACTTCAGCAGAAGTTAAGTGATTCAAATGTTGAAAGGAAGAAAATGGAAAATGAGGTAGTTCCTGGTTCTAATCTCTGCTTCATTTTCTACTTTATAATTATAATTTATTGCTTGAACATGCTTTAATACCTGATAATAACATATTAGGTTAAGAGGATGGAGATAGAGCAGAAGGATTGCTCTTCAATAGTTGATAAGCTAGTGGAGAAGTATAGCTGGATTGCAACTGAGAAACAGTTGTTTGGGAAAAGCGGTACAGATTATGATTTTCAATCTTGTGAACCACATAAAGCCCGCGAGGAACTTGAAAATCTTCAATCTCAACAATCCAGGTATATCTGATATTTCTATTGGCTCCATAATTCACTATAAACCATCATATTACTCCCAACATTTAAAAAAAAAATGACATTTAGGGCAAGTTGCTAGTGCTACTGAATAGCTGTACCCATATCATCTCCTCAGTTCTGTAATTTGCAATGTATTCACCAATCGTTGTTACCTGCCTGCAGTCTTGAGAAGAGGGTCAATAAGAAAGTTATGGCAATGTTTGAGAAGGCAGAGGATGAGTACAATGATTTGATGTCAAAGAAAAACATCATCGAGGTATGTCCTATCATGTACAGTTTTCTTGATAGCCTGAAAATAGTTTTGATATCCAGACAAAAACCTTTTTGTCATCTGCAGAATGACAAGGCAAAAATCAAGAAAGTGATAGAAGAGTTGGATGAGAAGAAGAAGGAAACCTTGAAAGTCACATGGCTCAAAGTAAACAAGTCAGTATATGAATCCTTTAGTGACTTATTATATATCCCAGCAGATGCACTGTCCCTTTAAATGTTGTTGAAGTTGTCTCTTGCTCATAAATGTGCAAATTGGAGTCTAACTCATACATTCTGTTTCTATAGGGATTTCGGATCTATATTCAGTACTCTTTTACCTGGTACAATGGCAAAACTTGATCCTCCAGAAGGTGGCACTTTCTTGGATGGTCTTGAAGTTCGTGTGGCATTTGGGACAGTTTGGAAGCAGTCTCTTTCTGAACTTAGTGGAGGGCAACGGTCCCTTCTTGCTCTTAGTCTTATCCTGGCTCTGCTTCTTTTTAAACCTGCACCACTTTACATATTGGATGAGGTATCTCTGAATATGATTTACTATTCAAATTCCTTACCACTGCAATATACTGTTCTTGAACTAGTATAACTTTGCTTTATTTGGAAGAATGAGATGGTGCTGCAAGTAAATATGTTAGGCAGTTTTCCAGAAGCAGATTCATTGAAACTTAGGCAGCTTTGAGATGTTGAAGCTCAATACTTTATTTTTTCTAGATTTAGATCAGATGCTAAAAAATATTTGAACGTTGGACAAAATTAGTCATTGGTTGTGATAATGTAGACTAGAGCAACTATTTAGAGCACAAGTTCATCTCATCTAGGCAAATCTTAACCTTGCTCTATTTTATAAACAGTATGGTGAAGACTGAGTAGATATTCAGAGTATGTATTAGAATGGAATGTTTTATTATTGTACCACTGCAAGTTAGTCTCATGCTAGGTCTCAGTTGTTGGGTAATTTGAATTTGCTCTAGAAGGTATGACTTAAACTGAAAGAACTGGAAAATGATGCTGAGCAGTACTTGGTGTTTTTGTTCACATGGATAGATTTGTTTAGAAAACTTCTATCTAGTCAGGGATTGGGCAAGGCAATTTTATTATGACACTTATTATAGTCTTGTATGTTTGATGCCTCAAACGTTTGTAGTTTGCAGATTGGTGCTGAGAGTCTGAGACTGACCATTTTCAACTGACTGATGTTCATGCACTGCAGGTTGATGCTGCTCTTGATCTGAGCCACACCCAAAACATTGGTAGAATGATCAAGGCTCATTTTCCGCACTCTCAGGTAATATATAATCCTGCTTACTAGGGAGGTAGTGCATTTTAATATGTAGTAGGTAAACTGTGTTTTGAAAGGCAATTAACTATCTACATAATGTGTCGCTTACGACTATTGATTTGTGACAGTTGAATTCCTTGTGTATCAATTCAGATGCTCTGGTCTTTGTGTTCAGACAGTTGCAACACTAAGTTCTGAAAGTTTGAACTATTGGTTTGTTTTTTGTAGTTCATAGTTGTCTCTTTAAAAGAGGGTATGTTCAACAATGCCAATGTGATATTCCGAACAAAATTTGTTGATGGTGTGTCCACTGTGACACGTACAGTGCCTTCGAAACAGAGATGATCAGTTTACACAGCGTGCACATTCTGAAGGTATGTTCTGAACCAAAACTAGGCATATAATTCCAAATCTGTCATTTAAGAAGCTGCTATAATAAAACATTTCCTGTCGTTTATTCTGCCAGGAGAACTATTCCATGAAAGCTGAACCCTACAATTACTTGATGCTGTGGCCGCTTGATGCCTCAAGCGCCTCGCTTGTCAGGCAATGGCATCAAAATAGGCGCTGTAACTGTAACCTCATGCCATGACGTTCATGATGACCTTGACTGCCTTCTACGTTATGTGCTTTCATCTGACCCAATGTGTAATTAGCGGTTGAACTATTTTGTGTTGAAGATCGACCATGTAATGTTATGTAACAAGCATTTATTATCAGGGTCAGGGATACTTTTGACTTGCTAACTTACCTTTTATTCTTATTTCTAATTTTTTTTATGTGCCCCTCCCCCTATTTTCGATTTACCTTTTATTACTCGGGACGAAAAAAACGTCATATTTCCAATTTAGCTATTTACCAATGTTCTAAACAATCATTCATTTTATCATTTAGTTATGATGGTTTTTCATGTGTGCCGTTATAAAAGATAACAATTATCTACGTGCTGCTAAAAAGTTCAAGCGCATTCTGGTGTCATCTACCTTAACTTTTTTGTGGTTCATGCCATTTCTGTCAATGTTATATGTCCAAAATGCCCCCCTCTCTCCCGTGCCTTATCCTCTCCTTCCTCTTTTCCTTCACCCGATTGCGAGCCAGGAGCAGCCGCGCTGCCGTTGGCGCTGGGCCGCCTGGGTGCCTGGGCAGTGACCTGTGGGCCTTGGCGGAGCCGGCAGCCGCGGAGGCTGGCGCTCAGCTACCACAGCGGATGGCGGCGGCCGGCGAGCGCGGTGACCTTGGCGGTGGTCCCCACTCCGGTGCTCCCCGCTACTCTTCTCCCGTCCGATGTCCATGATTGGTGCGAGCAGCCCGACGACGGCGCGCAGTGTGCTGTGCCGGTGCCGCAGCGCGTCGGCCGCGGCCAAGCAGCACGCGCAGCAAGCGCTCGGCGACCGCCACGGCCTCGTCGGCCTTGCCGTTCCGCGGGGGTTGCCTTGGGCGTGAGGTCGGCCACAAGGTGCCGCCGTGAGCACCCGCATCTGTCTCTGTCTCTCTGTATGCGTGCGGGCAGGGGCGGGCTACTGGTACTTGCAGATGGTTGGGCCTCTGCTTCTCGAGGGATCGATGGATCGGTGCCCCCGTGCGATGCGTGCATAGTAGATGGCTGGGCGGGAGGATGGAGAATGCCGGGTGGGAGCACGGTGTGCACAGTAGTAGGCCCCTGCATTTTTTTTTTTTTGAAACTAGGCCCCTTCATCTTTGCGGTGGTGCCGAAGGAAGACGCACATGCACACCACATGTTCGAGCGAATGCCTGACCCACGGGCTGCCACCCGCTCCATATTCTCTTGTTTGAAAAGGATTGTTTGACATTTTTAAAATTATGCTTGCTAATACAAGGAGGTCTGATGATATTGTTTTTGTTTTTAAATATTTAGTTTAACTTAATATTATTTTTGTTTTGATTTTAGTCCTCGAAAATATTGCTGTCGAAATATGTTGTGTAGCAAGATTTTCAAATTTATGATATTCAAAATAAAAAATATTGCAAATAATTTAAATACCAATTAAATTAGTGCGGTCAAGAATGGTCAACGGCAATAAGTTTGGTGCCAAAACACTAAGCCAGGGAGTGGCATAGGGGAAATAAAACTTTATCTCGCTTCTCTAGCCTGAGGGCATTTAAGTATTTTCATAGCTCCGTTAGCCACCGTTAGCAGCGAATGTGAACGGAATGATGTGGACGATAAAAAGTTTCGGCCGATAGCATCTAGGTGCACTCAAACTTTTTAGTGGTCTGTAGGTAATTATCATATTTTATAATGGCACACCGGTAAAACCCTCTTTAGTTATTAACAATTGGTTTAACAGGCTAAATGCCCAATTAAACAGAAATGGTGTACCACTCTGTAGCATATAGGCACTGATTAAGTAGGCTATATAATTGTTTAGGTGAACCTTGCTATTTAGTGACGACTAAGATATTGTGCTGAAATAAAATAAGTTTGATAGTGCTAAAAAAAGTCATAAATGATATCATTTTTATAGAATGATTCCTCAAACGAGGATTTTTGTATCTGTTTCCATCCCTAGTGCAAGTGTTTCCTCTTTGATTATCTGTTCTTTTTTTAATTAAGGGGAAGTGCACTATTATATATTTATATCAACATCGCATGAGTAAAACATGTGATTACACTAGACATCTACCACTATGGAGGGTACAATCTCTTGCTAAGTTTCTTCGCTGCACAGACAATCGAGTTGGGTAGCTCTGGGCATGATCTACAAATCAGCCTCTTGTTACTTTGATCGCTTCTTTTCGTCTATATAAACGGTGTTTCAGTCTATATGTGCAGTGTCCTAAAACTGCTCAATTTAGGATACTTGCCTTGTTCAAGTGGCAACATTCCTGTCAAGTAAGTTTCAGGAATCCCGGCATGCCATCAGAACATGTTACGATCAAATGGGAGAGCACAGGGGCTGAGACTGAGTGAAGGCTTGGTAAGCCTCTACTAAACAAGTAAACGATGCAAATTTATTGTACACCTGACCAAAACATAGTAAGCACCCATTGTTCCTTCACAAAGAGGAAACAAAAACTACATACATCATGAGGATTGAAGGCGCCTGTCCACTTGTCCAGTTCCAATTTCCAACTAGTCAATCAACTCCAGTATATGAACATTTTTGTACTTTCGTCACTCCTTTGCATCACGGTTATTGTTGGTCACTAGTTAATGGTATCCTTGCGTTGTGTCTTCACATCTCAAATGCTCAATTGAGCAGCTTTGTTACATGGCAGGCAAGCCTGATGGAGAAACCCATGCGTCAAGATGCGAGGCTGTCTAGAGACTGTTCCTCCGTCATTTCTTTCTCTGAGGATCGCGACTAAGACTGTGCTTTCTCAAAGTTCTGATGTAACTTCTCATCAGACTGAATTTGTTAGCACCCAGGTGGTGCAAGTAATCCCATGTGAAGATCCCTGTCTTGTGCAAGTCATCAAAGAGTATCCTACACGCAAACAACAACAGGTCATGAACCAGGCATGCAAATAAAAACAAAACTGATAGATAGAAATGGCACAGCGGACTTCTGCAATATGGCTGAGAACTGAGAAAAACATGCTATGAAACAGGACAACCCTCACCGGACTCCGTAGTTTCCTACTGATTCAGCTGACATTATCCCAACATGTCGTCGCCCAAATATAACCTGATCAGACATAATTTCTGCTGTAAAACTCAGAATTTTATGGAAACCGCAGACCCAGTACAAGATATTAATAATCTCCAAAGATGTCATCAAATAGTTTATATGAATGATCTGCAGTCATAAACTAAAGACTAATATCTCTGCAAATTTGCAGATTAGGGCGGGCCTGGTGCAAGCGGTAGAGTCTTACCGCCTGTGACCGGAAGGTCCCGGGTTCGAGTCGCGGTCTCCTCGCATTGCACAAGCGAGGGTAAGGCTTACCATTGACACTCTTCCTCAGACCCCGCACAGAGCGGGAGCTCTCTGCACTGGGTACGCCCTTATTCACAGAAAAATTACCCTTCAAAAGGCTCTATGAGCAAAATTTTCCCCTTACAGCAATGGCAATGTATTATTTGTAATTCGTAAACAGAAAAACTGTCATGTGGGCTAATAAAAAAAGCTCAAGAAAACCTACTGTGACATGGAGTGTAAAGTATACTAGAAATTACCTTTTCACCACCCACTGAACGGATTTTGCTATCAGCTGCTGGGCTGTATACTCTGAGAAATTCTGCTGACAGATGAAATGAGCTACCATCAGTGAATTCGATTTCAACCTGGGATGAACTAGAAATTAGTTAAATTCAAAACAGATACACAGCTCATAGCCCAAATGAACCAGGCAAACCAATGCCAGAGTATTCCACAGCAAGTTTGTAAGAGTGGCCAAATAGAAAAGAGGCCCTTGTAATTTGATGACAAATATGCATATCAACAAGAGCGATGTTCGAAGGTTATCATGTTCAGAAAATTACAGATTCCAATCAGGATACACATGCCAACTTATCTCGTTCACCAGCAAATAATCTCATGGAATGCTACAGTAGTGATATGTCCATCAACTAGGCTGCCAGCTAAGATGTACATGCCCATTTCTTGATAAGATGCATATGGTCCTAAAATATGGATGTGATAAGGTCATATTTGGAAACAGCAAGACAACTGAATAAGACCAGAACTTCAAAAACGATGCCGGAGAACTGTTCCCATGACATTGACTGGGAGCTGTCTTGACCACACATGGTCACACACAAATTTCAGCACAAGAACGATTTATATTCTGGAGGAATTTGGATGATTTGGAGGAATGCTGGAGTAATTTGTGAGAGAAAAACATTGTCCCGGATAAAAAAATAAGTGGATCAAGCCGGTTTTAAGGACACGCGAACAGGGCCATGGTCTGCATGCCCGAAATAGCACTTTACTAATGTTTCAATCGAGCACTCACGGGTTGGCAATAAGGGAACATTTTGTTTTTGCTTGCACGCATGACAACCAAAGAATGCACGCAATATTTGAGTAGCTGCAAAGCTACTCCTTGAGGTGACAACAACAATCAGGTGAAGTCAGACCGCAGAACACAGTGGCCCCGCGCGATGTTGTGAATTTGGCCTTTCAGCCGAGGACGGCACTCTAGATTAGATCACACTAAACTTAACACGATCCAGTATCCACCACGCGAGCAGTAGAGAGCCGCAGGAATCAGGTAAGACCAGGAATCAGGTAAGACCTGAGGTGGAGGGGGCGCTGGTCGGGTCGTCTGGGAAGAGGAGACTCACGGATTTGGGAGGGTGCAGCGCCAACTTCGTCAGGCGCGGGGGCTGCGCCGCCGCCGTGTGCAGCCGCCGGATCACGGCGCCCGTCGCAGCCGCCATACAGGTGTGGGATATGAAAGGAGGGAAGGGAATGGGAAATGTGAAGGGATGGAAATCTTTTCCGCTGTTTGGTTAGTAGGAATGGAAAATAGAGAGGGAAAAAGAGTCTCGCACTTGCACGCGCCGTCCACCGGAGCAGGAGTCTTGCACTTGCACGCGCCGTCCACCGGAGCAGCCGCTCGCCTATCGCGCGGCGGCCGCCGAAGCCGCGCGCCTCTCGTCCGTGCGAGCGTCTGATCCGACGAGTGACGAACCGGAGCCGGACTCATGGAGCGAGGTTGCAAACGACAAATCCCAAAGGCTAAGGAAAATATTTGTGGGAAACACTCTGAAATCATGTTAAAAGTTGGATATTTCCCCCCACGTTGGGTTTGGTCGGAGAACATGAGTTCAGTCGAAATGGAACAGGAGTTTAGAGATAGGGGAAATATTCAATGTATTTAGAGTTAGTTATTTCTAGCTAACATAACTAATGGTTAGCTGAATGCATCCAAATAAAGACAGAGTCCTAGTGACAACGGGCGTGTGAATTTGGTTGGACAGGTAATGAGAGTTTACCCATGGAAAGAACGAAGGGGGTGATAAACTGATAATAAGTGGAAATTAAACTTCAAATGGAAGATAGATGCGTCTTTACTTATCATGATTTTTATATATAGCCCAGCTAGTAGGTTTTATGTGGTTGGACCTATCTATTCGAGTTAATTACCTGACTTATGCGTGTGCTTATGTTTTTCTAAATTTATTGTATAATCTTAATAACATTTTTTTCAATGATGGATGGTATACTCGTTGACAACAAGATCTGTTATCTCAAAATTTTGAGGATCTTCATAGAAATATTCTATATATACATCGTTCATGGAGTAAGCCTACTATGTGAATATATGTGAGTGTACGGGTCACAATAGTTGTAATACAGTCCTCCCCCGTCCCAAAGTAAGTGTCGGTATCTATGCCGGTCAAACTTTCTTAAAACTGACTAGGTTTGAAAAAATATTCGCAACATTTATATCTTCAAATAAGTTTATTATGAAAATAGATTCAACTATCTATCTAATGATACCAATTATGTATTTTAAATATTAATATTTACATATATTTTTTATTAAAGTAAAAAATGTTTAACTTCTCATAAAATGAGAACAATACTTATTTTAAGACGGAGGGACAATACTTATTTTAGGACGGAGGGGTATATAATTTCCACTTCTAAACACCCGCATCAAACAAATAAATGAAAAATAGAAATTCACTATTCAACCTTTTCTTTCTTCCGCCATAAGCCAAACAACGAGATATAAAGGCTATTAAAACTAAAATTACCAAGTAAAAAAATTGACCAACGACTAATTGTATTACGGGTTTGTTAGCGTTGGGACATCCGGACAGACGGGGTGTCTGGATGTCCGCGCCTATAGCCGTTTTCCGCGCCGTTTCGAGTGCCCACGCGAGGTCAGCGTGGCCCCCGAACGTCACTAGCATCGAAAAAAGCTGGGGAGGGCCGTCGATGGGAGGAGGAGGAGACACCGAGGCGAGACAGTAGAAAAACGAGTATGGAGATGCAACACCCGATCTACTTTTGAAACATCCAAATGCAACATTTGCAACATATGTCTGAAGACAGATGAAAGAGTTGAAACATGCATATGAAACACTTGCAAAAATACGTAAAAGACACTTTAAAAACATTGTAAAACATATGCAACATCCAGATAAAACACTTGTAACATACGTGTGAAACATATGCAATATCCAAACAAACACACTTGCAACATAAGTCAGAAAAAAACAGATGAAACATTGGGAACAAAAGCTTGGAACATAAGTGTACAACCATTGCAACATATACAACATCCCGATACACTTTGGCAACATCCGTACGAAACACTTGCAACATACCTTTTAAAATATCTGAAACACTTAAAATATACGCTTGCAACATGCGCTTTCAGCGCAACATCTACTCGATGCTTGGGAGAATAGAGGCTCGTCGGCGTGTGTTCACCAGAGGCAGCGGCCCGGGGTGAGGAGCGGAGAAGAGGGCGCCCACATCGAGTTTAAGAAAGTGACAGACGAATCTCGGAAGAATGGCAGTCAGCGGTCCTAGTCTCCCACTCCAAGTTTAAGGAGCCGACAGTCCGAGGCGCGGGGAGCAAGCGTGGCGGCACGTCAGGTGGGCGAGGAGGGTGGCGCGATGCCGGGTCGGAGCAGCGAGGAGGCGGTGGGGTCGCGGCTGCACTGGTGGCGGCGGGACTGCACGCGATGGCGTGCGCGGGGTGCGACTGCATTGGAAAATGACGCAGAAAAACCGATTCTTTTTTTAAAACTCTCGAGCAAATAGGGGTAGCTAGGCTAGCATCGTGGACCATCAACGAAGCATCCCGGCGGACGCTCGCTTCCGAGAATTACCGTTAGGATTATCGGAACAAATACTTTCCTTGTAGCCTCGCCATAATGCTAGTGCGGAGTGGGCGAACCGTCGCCGTCAGCCTACCTCGGGCGCGCCATCTCTTCTCGCCACGGCATGTGGCGGGCGGGCGTGCTGTGCTGCCGTGCTGGAGCACAAATGGCGTGCGCGCACCATGTACCCTGGTCCCGACACGAAAAAGGGAAAACCCCTGAACCCTTTCCCTCACTAGATTGCTAGTGGGCCAGCCTCGCCGTAGGCCGATAGCCAGTCAGCCACACAAGACAACACGCGGACGCCCCACTCCAGACTCCACCACCACCGGCCACCGGGCGCCAAAGGAACGGAACGGCCCTGCCACGGCGGCGGCGGTTGTAAGTTCCCGCACCAGCGACCGGCGGACACGTATACCCATCTCCCCTCGCAAAGTCGCACACACCCGTCCTCGGCCTTGTTCCGTCCGCCAGCAATGCCGCTGGCGCTCGCGCAGCTGCAGGACCTGCGGGACCGCATCTCCGACCGCCTCCGCCCATGGAGCCGCTCCGCGCAGTTCTGGGTCCGCGCCGCGGACATCTACACCAGCTACAAGGTGAGCCAGCTAGCCGCTGCTCCATTGGCGTGCCTTTTATCTGCTCGTTGATATGCCTCTGAGGTGCGGGGGTTTTAATTGCGAATCGCTTTGGTCGGTCCAGGTGTGCCAGCTGCGGGAGGGGTTCGTGAAGGATGAGGACGAGCGGGAGGCCATGTGGGAGCAGCAGCACGAGCTCGGCGCCCAGAAGATGTACTCCCTCTGCTCCGAGCTCGGCGGTCTGTTCCTAAAGGTTGGTGTGCTTGGCTTCGCCCGCCCTATTCTAAATTTTCTTTCCTCCTCTCTGATTTTCAAATGCCCTCACTCCCACCCACCAAAAAAAGGGGCGTGTGACAGAAGCTGCAATCCGATTGTGCTGGTAACTGTGATCGCGCTTGTGGTGCTTTGTATCATCATGTTATGATTCGTATGCTCTGTGACACCGGATCGGTGGATTTTGAACAGGCTGCTCAAATTCTGGGAAAACCTGACTTGGCACCGATGGCTTGGGTGAAGAGACTTGTTACGCTGTGTGATCAGGCCCCAGCCACGCCATTTGATGTGGTTAGAGATGTTGTGGAGAAACAGTTTGGGAAGAACTTCGATGACATATTCGAATTCTTCGATGTTGAGCCTGTTGGGTCTGCTTCTATTGCTCAGGTTCGTGCTTAGGTGTTTCTCTTCATCTGTGAAATCTGGGGAGTGGGGGTAACATCTGTACTTTCTACCATTCCTGCCAATGTTAGGCCTGTGCAAATGTTGTTTCTTTCTTTGTAACATAACATCACATACGTACTGGGAACAGATCACTTATTTTCTCACTAAATTTTTTAGACAGTTTCCAAGTTATATTTTGATTCATATTTGCTAGGTGCATCGAGCAAGGCTTAAATTATCAAAGACAGACGTTGCTGTCAAGGTTAGTGATATGCTTATGTGCTTTGTAAACAGCCATTTGAAACCTCAGATTTTTCGGATGTCATAATGAATTAGGAATTGACCAGGTTCAACATCCAGGAGCCGAACATCTGATGATGGTTGATATTCGGAATATGCAAGCAATGGCCTTGTTTCTGCAGAAGTATGACATCAACTTTGATCTATTCTCTGCCACAAAAGAGATGGAAAAGCAGGTTTCTCCCGCAACCCCATAGCTTTCTGTTTTGTCACTTGTCCCATCAATCCAGTATACTTTTCTACCCTTTCCTAAAACACCAAAAAAAATGTTGAGCCTCTTTCTGCGTTTATAATTATGCTGAGATAAAATAAGCAGGGGCGAAGCTAGTATTAAATTTATGGTGGTGCACAACGTTAACGGCAGTGTAGAAATATGTCTTCTTTCAACTGATATATATGGTCAAAATAAGCTACTTACAACAACAACAACAACAACAAAGCCTTTAAGTCCCAAACAAGTTGGGGTCGGCTAGAGTTGAAACCCAGCAGAAGCAATCAAGGTTCAGGCACGTGAATAGCTGTTTTTCAAGCACTCCTATCTAAGGCTAAGTCTTTGAGTATATTCCATCCTTTCAAGTCTCATTTTATTGCCTCTACCCAAGTCAACTTCGGTCTTCCTCTGCCTCTCTTCACGTTACTATCCTGGCTTAGGATTCCATTACGCACCGGTGCCTCTGGAGGTCTCCGTTGGACATGTCCAAACCATCTCAACCGATGTTGGACAAGCTTTTTTTCAATTGGTGCTACCCCTAATCTATCAAGTATATCATCGTTCCAAACTCGATCCCTTTTTATATGACCGCAAATCCAACGCAACATACGCATTTCCGCGACACTTATCTGTTGAACATGTCGTCTTTTCGTAGGCCAACATTCTGCACCATACAACATAGCAGGTCTAATCGTCATCCTATAAAACTTGTCTTTTAGCTTCTGTGGTACCCTTTTGTCACATAGGACACTAGATGCTTGGCGCCACTTCATCCACCCTGCTTTGATTCTATGGCTAACATTTTCATCAATATCCCCGTCTCTCTGTAACGTTGATCCTAAATATCGAAAGGT